GTCCGATCGCTGAATAATAATAAGTCAAACTCGTACCTCCCAGAAGTCTGGTTGACACGGCTCGGGGACCAAAATCGCATCCTCCCTTCAGCATGGTGCTTGTCACGTACCTTCAAGTAAATAGGCTATTTCATTCGCCATCTAACTGTCTGATTCCCTTTCTGCGCACTACTGCCTAACTACGATTGTTGCAGCTAGGGCACGCCACCGTTGTGATGATCACAACGGGGGGTCGAATTTGACTGCGAGGGAGGGGGTCGTATTGGTCGTTGTTGGGAGAGGGACTGCCAAAGATCTATACAACTGCTATTTCCGACAGTTGAAAATGAAAAGAGATAGTTCAATCCTCACGACCTCCCCTCCCCTCCCCCCTCCCCGCTCGACGGAAAATTCTTGGCTGAAGAAAAATTTTTCGGGAAAAAATGGAAAAAGTGGTAGGAAGTTGGGAAAATCTAGGAAAGTGGTAGGTAGCATGGGAGGGGGGTCGCAGTGCATTCGAGGATGAAATTAAGGGGCGTCGTATTTTCTAGGAAATGATCACAACGCGATGGCGTGCCCTGGTTGCAGCCCGAATGTGGAACTTCACACAAAGATCAGTTCCCACATAGAAACCCCTCGCGAAATCGGAGTTCTGGGACGGCCCACAAAGCAAGGCACGCCCTCAAAAGTAAAACAGCATAAAAATGGTAAAATACGGATTCGTCTGCGTATATTTTGCAGCATTCGGTCTTTTTTGTTGCGGACGCTGGGCATGTCAAGGGGAGCGGCTGGGTTTGGCGCGGTGCCGACCAGTTTTCCACCAGTTACAGTCGCCTGCCAGCTTTCACAGTTGGTGGGGAACCGGCTGGAGCCGCTGCAAGTCCACCCCCTGACACCATTCAGCGTTCGCAGCAAACAAGACGGGCGCCTGATGAATAAACGGCAAATTAGCTGAATAGAACTTTTTCGTTTAGAAGTGCAATTCATTTCACAGCACTTGCTGCACAGTCTACTTTAAAGATGCCTCTAAAACATGAACGCACCATAATGTGTTCCAAAAGCTGTAGTTATTGGAAAGTTCCACAGGTGAATTCACAAAGGCGGCACCAGGATGAGGCTGATGAGCCGTGCAACACGAGAAGTTCAAGTTCCACTCGTATGGCGTCACTCGCGATACCGTGTACATTCCCAATGTTACACATGCTGTAATGCACAGGTGCTCAGAAATGGGCAATGAGAACAATGGTGAGACAATGGCTGGATCCAGGATTGAAGTTTCTTGAATTCGTTATGTACTCGTCTGCAATAATCTCCGCAGAACGCAAAGTTCAGAAAAATCGAAAAACTTCTAAGCTCTTTTCGAAGATGCTTTGATCGTACTGTCGCAGGACTTTTCGTGCAACCAAATACGTTTCTCTTCCTTTCTGAGTGTATGGTCAAAATTTACAGTCTTGCTCCCGCGGGTCGTGTCAGGGGGATGGGTTTAGCGCGGCTCAGCCCTTTTATTTTCTTTTTTTTTCCTTAGTCGACAAGACTGTATCATATCGTTCGTATCAGTTCTTTCCCACAAGTTAATGTCGCTTACCAGCTTCAACAACTGGTGGAGATCGGGCTAACGGTGCACCAGACCCAGCCTTGGAGACACGCCCCATCAGCAGCAAGCAATACCGCACTTTTGACCGCCTTCATCTCAGGAATAGGAGAATCGAAAAATTGGATGATTGAATAGAAGGCCATGAAAAGGGAAAGACAGGACAACATTTTAGTGGTGCTGAGGTATGAATGCTCCATTCTCTATCGAAATAAAGACAGTCCAAAGTATCTTATTCTTTTTGCAGCTTTTCCATCTCTGCTATTTCCATGGTCTATGACTCTCCAATGGTGTGGGAAGAAGGTAGTCATCCAGCCATTTCTGATTAGTTGTCGATAATATAATAACCACGGGAGAGCTCACCGATCGCTGCTAGAATAGCTAGCCAAATCTGCCATGAGAGGGGATTGAGGAATGAAAATAGATCAGGTTGGTGGTCGTCTGGCACCTGAATGGAACATAATAAGCACTGGTTTGAGAACAGCGACGCCAAGATGGAACAAGAAAGGAGTGAGCAAGTAAACGCCGAAACCTTGTACAATATGCTGATCCCAAGTGAAAGAAAAGGCTTTGTAAAGGAAACCACTTCTGAACGGCGGAAGTTCACAGTTAGTGGTGCTACGGCCATCTCCGCATCCTATAAACAAGAAGAAGTGATCTGTAATGATCACATGGAACTGAACCACTTACCCCTCTGAGTATCTCGCCAATCATTCCGTCCCAAGAGCCGTTCCCATACACATCGTTGCCATATTTGCCATCAGCAACCGCATGAATTGCGTAAGTGAATCATGAAAAGCCAGTATTTACCGTAATCCTGATCGAAATAGAAGAAAGCAGTGCTGCCGAGCATGAACAAAACTCTCTCACTGGGGTTAGCCAAGGAATTTTATAAGAGGAGAACAGCATCATAGAACTTCATAACTCATACTGCCTGAATCATTCACACAATCAGGCTGAAGCAGGCAGTTACG